CTGCCAGATTCTGCAATATTCATCTGTTACCATTTGAATTTACTGTTTTTCTGCAAGATTCTGCAAAAAATCACAAAAAATTTAGCCATATTCTGTAATTCAACCAGATTTAGCCGTTACCATTTGTACCCTAAAGAAAGTAAGATTTACATGAGATTTTGAGTGTGGTATACGTGTATCATTAGTGTTAGTTAACATTGTCCATTTTTCAATGGGCTATGTTATCATTTTCATAGTTTGTAATAATTAATATTCACTGCTAAAAAAACAAATACTCTTACCCGATTTCTATCCAATCCATACCCTAACACGTACCCTCAATGCTCATGCCTTGATTACATACTTTGTGAATTACATCTATCTTGTTTAGTCAATACATATTCAGTATTGTTCGCATCCCTACTTATGTTCAGAAAATTAAATTTACAAACATTTTGACACATTTATAGCGCTAGCGAGGTAAGTTGCAATTGAGAGATGCTTCCGACTTATTTTATTTTTGTTGTTGTAAAAAGCATTGTTGAAAAGTACCATAAACCAGCGTTAGATCATCACATAGTGTTATGTTTTTGTATCCTAAGATATGACTGCCAAACGAAGTACTTTTGGTTCTAGTGGCGATTGCATAAGTTTCAAAATTCCAGGTGTAAATTGTTTTGTAAAGACCAATCCACTCCAACTTGATGGGTTCCAGCTTGGAGCTTCTATGAGTAGAAGTTTTTCATAGAAGTTTTTGTCCGTTTTGATTAATGTTATCCTATATGTAAAGATAATTCATACCAAAATTTCACATCTACCTTATTGATTACATCACGAATTGACCATCGTTTATTATGAATGTTGATACTAGATTATCTTTAAGCGTTTTTAGCGTACGAATGTTAAATATTAAGTGAGTAGCTTGAAGAAAATTCTTACACTAACTCAACAACTGAGATATATTTATCAAACGTAAAAAGAAAAGATAAAACTTTCAAGACATTTAAGCTTTGGACAAGGTTATGTGCAATGGCATGAAGCATCGGCACACCGTACCTCGAACGTTATTTATTATATAGTTCACTATTTATCTACTCATAATATTATGTTTTGATGTCGCTAGCAGTGACGGTCTCTACACTCCACCGCCACCTCCCCAACCTCCACGGCCTCCTCCTCCACGGCCACCGCCTCCACCTCCCCAACCTCCACGGCCACCGCCGCCTCCCCAACCTCCACGGCCACCGCCGCCTCCCCAACCTCCACGGCCACCGCCTCCCCAACCTCCACGGCCACCGCCTCCCCAACCTCCACGGCCACCGCCTCCCCAACCTCCACGGCCACCGCCTCCACCTCCCCAACCTCCACGGCCACCGCCTCTTCCACCTCCCCAACTTTGTTGTGGATCATTCATCTCTTCTGTGGCCGACTCAGAACCA